TTTTCTACTTTTACATCAATTTAATTTTAAATATTACTTTAATATACATACTAACAACTAACCAAACCAACTTTTTAAAATTTAACCAACTCAAACAAAAAATCCTGTCAAAACAAAATTTTTTTATATCCAAGCATGCTCTAAGTGTTTAAAATTAAAAAAAGAAAAAAAAAAATCCATAAGAGTGGATATCGTCAATTCTTTCTCTCTCCTACTACTCCTTCATTTTTTCTTCTCCACTCGAGACTTTTTGTTGTTGATGGGTAACGTTTAGGTACTATTTGGGTCAATTCGCTACATTCAAAAAATGCTCGGGTCGGGTATTATCCAAGTCTCGTTTGCCGTTGTCCGGCCAGGACCATTTGTTGTTCGCGCTCTCATTTGGTGTGGTTCCAAATAAGAGTTCAACTCTAAATTTATGTTGCACCCTAGCTAACTGCACTCTAGTGAACTTTTGGATCGTTTTTGACTTCAGTAGAGGCAAGCAAATGTTTAATGAAGTAGATTTGAAATTACGTGTAGTTGTAAGCTAATACGGTTGAACGGTCCCTCTTTTCCACTTGATATAGCTATGGTGGGTATGACCTTATTGCATAACCTTCCATGCTTCGTGCAAATAAAACAACACAATATTGTCGTTAAACTATCATACTATCCTAGTAAAGAATTCATAATTATACTATAAAATGTTATACTTTTATTTATGTTTTATTTTAAAGTATGTCATTTGAATGTGAAAGTATTTATATTTGTTGCAAAAATATGATTTTTAACAATTGAACAACCTAGTACAATACTTAGGGATAAAACAATGTTAATCCTAAGACTGTATTTTTTCAAAGGAAAGCAAATGACCAAGCAGTGAGATTGTTGTTAAACAATCGAATAGTTAACAAATCCCAACTTTTTTTTTTAGTAAATATACATAATTTGATACAACAAATATTGAAAAATAAGTACAAAGCATAACTTAATTAAAATTTAAATATAAAAGATCCACGTAAATGACAGGGATTTTTAGTCGTTGGATTTGCACATTTGTGTGCGACTGTGCAATCCAACGGCTAAAATTCGGGCACGAGATAGTGTACAACTTTATCCTGAATGACCTCATTAGGCCCTCTAAATTAGTTCTCACCAAGTCCTCCACCATTAGTTTGTCTAATCCTCAAAAGTTGAGCAGTTTAACAAACACTATCTTCCTTCCACATTCAAATATACCTCTCCAAAAAATCAAATCCATCAATACATTATATAATGCAACTCAAAACGCATGCTTTTACGACTCAAACCCCAATTGAAACCCAAACTTAATTCTCTTCATTAAAATTATCTTCCATAACACTCGCACACACATTCCATTTCATTCACTCAATCCCCTCCGCCACCCACCAATGGGAAACGCCGCCACCCACGGCCCCTCCGCCGCCGGCGGCGGCCGCGGCAAGGTCATCCTATCAAACGGCGACGTTTTCACGTACGACCGGCCAATCACAGCCGCGGAGCTCATGCTCGAACACCCGCTGGAACTGGTCGTCGAATTCCCGGCGGTCGCTGCAGGAAAGAGGCCGGCGCCGCTGCCGGCAGATCAAAAATTGGATCCGAGAAAAACCTACCTAATGATACCGAAAAGGAGAGGCAGATCGGCGCCATTGCTATCGTCCGGTGAAGCTCGAGACCTCTTGGGTAAGACGAATTTCGCTCTGAAATCGAAGGCGCTTTTGGCTTACACGGGGTTTGTGCCGCTGTTCGTGAGGATCTGCCCGGCCGCCGGGGTGAATAACGACGCCGTTTTGAATGTGTGGAGGGAGGACAGGGTCAAATCCGACTATTTCAAGGAGATTTTGGAAGGAAGGCCCGAGTTTCTGAGCAGGCAGGTTTCGGGTAAGGGTTGGAAACCCAGTTTGGATCCGATTACAGAAAAGACAGTTAAGGCAAAAGTCCGCCACTGGATGTTTTAAGTTTTTAATTAAATTGTCAGTAATTTGATTTTATGATTTGGTTTCGTGTTGATTAATATGAGTGATTGTGATCAGTGAATAGGTCTGTAAACGAGCGAGGAGCTCGAGCCGAGCTCGGAAGTTCTATAAAAATTCTCTTTTCGAGCTTTATCGTGTCGAGTTGAGTCGAGCTCGACTTGTTAACCAAGCAAACTTTAAATGAGCTCGAGTTCGAAGCAAACTGGAGCCTTAAAGAGCCGAGTTCGAGCTCGACTTGTTAACCAAGCAAACTTTAAATGAGCTCGAGTTCGAAGCGAACTGGAGCCTTAAAGAGCCGAGTTCGAGTAGAGTCAAACTCGTTTAATTTAATAGCACTATCAGTTAACACAAAAATTGATTTGGATATTGGACAACTTTTAGAAAGATTAGATCCTACGAATGACTAAAATTTTTTACCGTTGGATCAAAACATGCATATTGTTCACGTATGTATGTATGGATATAAAGGTAAAAACTCAGTGACTGTTATATATGTAGTCATCTAAGTTTAGTTGTAACTGTTATTCTTGAGCTTTTCAAAGGGAATCTTTAACTATCAAACTAAACTGATTTGCATGTGTTCGGAAATACTATTAACGCTATATATGTTGGAATAGGTAATCATCGGTTTTGCTATGAAAAACCAACAGTTGGCTCAATACTGGAGCCAATCTTCTATATACAACAAATAAACCTTACAATACTAATAAAATTATATTAATGTTATTTAAGTAATCATAAAACATGATAGGTTTACTTGTTGTATATAGAAGGTTGACTCCACTATGGAGTCAACCGTTGGCTCCATAGCAAAACCGAGGTAATTATATAGTCAGTATTAAATTATAGATAATTAAAATATTCATTTTGGTTCGATTTGTTAAATACATTTGAAAATTAAAAAAATTAAAGGAGTGATATAGAAAAAATAACATTTTTTGTCTAGCATGATTTATTTTTATTTGTTAAGCTCAGGAAATAGGAGGGAACTCACTGGGTCTAAGGTTTATTTTGGTTAGGTTGGTTTTTCATTTGGGGGGCTAATTATATAATATTAAGCTACATATTATTTGTCCACAGCGGCTTGTATTTCATTTACAATTCATGCATTCAGCTTGCTGATGAACAATTAGGTCGGGTATTTATATTTAAAATGGTTTTTTTTTGTTTTTTTTTTGTTGAAATTCATTGTTGGAGTATCACTTGTAAATTGTCTCACATTAATTCTATAGGGAAATTGAGTCTAGTATATAAGTCAAGTGGGCTACTCCTTTGAGATGAAACCTCACTAAGGTGCATCTAGACTCACCATCTTATGGTGCGCTTAATTTGGTAGGACTGCACTCTCTTGCCCCGATTCTCTAATCTTACATGGTATCAGAGCCAGACCGACTTTTGCCTGAGTTTCTATCTCTACCCGGCCAACTCCGGCCTGGCCTGCTCTGGGCTTGGGTTTATGAAGGACTCACAAGTGAGGGGGCGTGTTGAAGTATCACTTGTGAGTTGTCCCACATTGATTTTATAGGGAAAATGAGTCTCGTATATAAGTCAAGTGGGCTACTCCTCCCATCACCAATTGGTTTTAGGATGGAACCTTATTAAAATGCATATAGGTTCACCCTCTTATGGTGCGCTTAATCTGGTAGGACTGCACTTTCTTGCCCCATTTCTCTAATCTTACATTCATAAACAAATTATAATAACTACATTATAATACAAATGGAAATGTATTGCTTTTAACTGGTTATTATTGTCCGCGGTTAGCCAACAATAGTTTTTAACAAATATACATATTTTTTCAGCACCAAAACTAGAGTTACACATACATAATGACAGGCCATCGGATGACACGGCTCCATAGAACAGTCTCATACAAAAATATGAGACTAATTGAATGTATCTTTGCCTTCCGTTTTCGTTACACACTCATACTGTCATACACAATAATATACGAGACTAAATCCATATATACATATATATATATATATATATATAATTACTAACTATTGTATTTAATAAAACATTTAATAAAACATATTTTCATTTTCCTCCAAAAGGAATTACAATTTTTTTTCATTAATTACTCACTAATGTGCTAAAACCGTTACACCTTAATATATATAATTTTATTATTTATTTTTTGATCAGTTACTAAATAAATTCTAAGTTTGGTATCAAAATATTCAAATGTGTAACGGTTATGTTGGAATTTAAAATTGATTGGCACATTCAGAGTTATACCCTGACACATACACTGTGTTCTCACAGGCTTCGGTATTTATTATATATATAACCATCTTATTTTTAATTTTCTGTTAAAGTTCCCTACAAGAAGTGCATATCTAAGTGTAAATGTACATGATCAAATATTAGTGAATGTATATTTGTCATTGTTTGGCAACAATAGTTAAAAAGAAAAAATGTTACGGCCCGTAAAACACTCGACGAGATTGTACCGTAAGAGACTATGACATTTCCCTCTCTAAAATGCAGTTAGAACAGTACACACGTCCAAATCATAATCTTAATAAAAGAAAGTATTGATTTAGAGAGAGAGAGAGAGAATGAAGCAAACGGGAGTTGGAAAGGGAAAGGCGGCGTACATAATAGAAGCGATAAGAACAATAAAAGAAGCTGACGAGATGAGGATAAGCACTAAAATTTCAGCACATCAAAAGATCATCATAAAACTTCAATAAACCTCGCTCTCGTTTTAGGAAGAGTTTAATTTGACTTAAAAAAAAAAAATTCACGACAAAATCAAATATAAACATAAATTTTCTCTGATATAGTTTCCTCTCCATGATTCCATGCCTCCCTGTTCAGTTGTTCTGTGTTTTCGAATTCTGGATTTCCGATGGCGCCTCTCCGACCATCTCGCGGTGCACCACCCCCACTCGAGCATCGGAAGGGCGCTCAAAGGACGCCCTTTCAGTTCCAGCAAAACCTCTCACCTCTAGTTCAATTTTTTTTTTTTTTGGAAGGGCCGGCGCCTCCCCGAAGGACCATGTGGTTTCACCCCTGATCAAATATATATATATATATTAAAGAAATTAATATATGGTGATATTTTCCTAAATTCTAATTAATAGGCATTTAGGTAAAATAATAACAATTTATAATAACTAGCTAGTTTCATGAGGCCTAACCAAAATTGTATCTTATGATCATAATAAATAAATCAACCGGGAGAATTCATAATTTCACACGTTCTTTTTTCAACTCTCTTCCCTTACTATTCATTTGGGGAATGGATTGATTATAGTTTATAGAAATATGAATTTAATTAGTCAATTTATATAAGTGACACTATTATATATATATATATATATATATATATATATTATTTTTTTAATGCAATAAAAATATGGGAAAAGCTTCAGCTGGTCCCAATTCCCATACTTGCATTCTAGTCCAAGGAGCGGGTAATTACCTTCCAAGTTCCAACAATCCACTACGTATCTGTTTCTGGTGCTTCAGAATCTTGGCGAAGAATAATGCTTCGTAATTAGGTTTGGCAAAATAATATATAAATAATAATCTATGTTCGGATATTCCATAAATATTATTTAGCTAACTTAGGTATTTTAATATCAATTGTACAAATATAACCCTTTAATTCTTTGTAATTTTACATTATGAGACACTAAGTGACTAATATATCCATGACTTTTGTATTTCTTATCGGTTTTACATATATAATATGTCGAATTAATCATCTTTTGATGATATTCGATTTGACATTCATACTGTATATACGAAATATATAAATTATGTTTATCTTTATAATAATAAAAAATAATAATATTTATTAAAATTCATTAGAAAAATAAAATTATTTCTCAATTGATATATTTATGTTTAATGTAGTTATTCGTTGTAAGTTAAAAAAATTATTATAGTATAACACAAGTAAGTATCACAAATAAAAAGTGTCATACTAACTATATAATAATATATATATTTTTATAAAAAGTATTTAGATTTTCAACTATTTTTCTCATTAATTTTATATTTTAAGAAAAAAAATTAGCACACACCCGTCTAATACACGGACGTTGTACTAGTTAAACAGTAAACTAAAATAAAGTAATTAATACTCAATTAAAAATAACTGAAAGGGCTAGTGTTGGGCTTCATATGGGCCCACAAATCCATTTGGGCTTGGGGCCGTCTGAAGGCGTGCAAGTAGAAATGGGGGTCCGCCATTAATCGGCGATCAAAAGGTCGAAATACACCTTATCTTCAACACATGCAACTTGGAATTGAATAAAATTTAAAATTAGTTAGCAAACCAATGATTGCTTCACCTCCCTATTGACTAAATTAACAATATTTTAGCGTTCCTTAAATGATTTTTTTTTTTTTTTT